AATGCATAAACAATTAGGTAGATAACAATTAGGTAGATACCTATTCTATCCCTCCTTTGTTATTAAACCAAGATGACATAAGAAATAATCAAAAAGGATGAGGTGGTGTATCGTAGGAGAGAAGCATTTGTTTTTCTTAACAAAATTACGCCCCTCTCATTTTACTTGGTTTTGATTTCTTAAAAATATAAAATAAAGTTTACGCTCATACAAAAAAAGTTTATATTTTTTATGCATATAATATAATTTAAATATTTTTAAATGAACAACAACTACTAAAAATGAATATGTGATTTAGAATGTTTGGTACTATATGAAATAGTATAAACAAAAATAGCATTCCATTATATGTATTTTTTACCTTTGAAACGTTATCTATTCATTACAACAACAACAAAAAAATATATAGTAGAGGTAGAACTAGGAATGATAAAAAAGTTTGTCATTAGTGAAATAAATTGGCATATACAACCATATCTTAAGATTTATACAGTAAAATATGAATTATTCTATATGAAGACATAAAATAGTAAAGACTTGAAATACAATTAGACAAACATTCACACAGCAATAGTTGATGACTAGTAACTTATTATATATGTCTATACATAATAAAATTAGGAATGAATAATATTGTTTTTATTTGTTAAATGAATTTGCATATGCAACTATATCGTAAAATTTATAGAAAATTTTAATTATACTATACGAATGTATAAAATAATATAAATACACACCATGCGTACTTACTTTACCATATTTATCCATTTTGCGAAATTTATGTTTGTTTCAAAAACTTCAAATCATGATATATGGAGCAAGAAAGTATGTTTTTTTTTACTTTTTAGTGATATCTTTTAGTTGAATATAAATTTATCACTACAAGAAAACATATAAAATTTGAACAACTTTTTTATGGCCAGAAGTTATTTGACAATTTTCGACCAATTTTAGATGAATGTTTATTTTCGTTATAAATTGGTCAAAAAAATAAGACGAAATATAAGAGTCGAAAACTGGTCGAAATTTTTCGACCAATTTTAACGGATTCGTGAATTTATCAAAAAATGGTCGAAAAATTACGACAAAGAAGATTGGTTAAAAATTGGTCAAGAAAACACGTTAATTTTTTACTAGTAAAATGGTCAAAAAATTTATTGACAAATTTTGACCAAAAAATTTAAAAATTTAAACTCGTCGAAATATGATCAAAATTTGTTGACTAATACAAGTGGTCAGTAAATAGTCAAAATATTCATACCATTTATCGACTAAAACAAATTTGGTCAAAAAATAATTTTTGACGAACAAATACTTGTCAGAAATTGGTCACAACATTATCGACCAAATATTGATTATATATAGCCTTTTGTGTTTGTCCCACATCGACAATATGGAAGGGATGAATCTTTAACTTTCTCTATAAAATAACACTTACTCCATTCTGAAAAACGTAAATGGGCTTACCATAGCCCAAATAGTTTATGTTAATATATTTTAATCCCTGATTGATTGGATATAACAAGAATATTTATTTGTGTTTTATTTTACATTTTAATTGTTTTAAAATATTTAATTTAATTATTATAAATCAAATATTTATTTTTAACTAATTTATAACGAAAATAAACATTCGTCTAAAATTGGTCGAAAATTGTCAAAAATAGTTTCTGACCACAAAAAAGTTGGTCAAAATTTGATATGTTTTCTTGTAGTAAACT